AAAGAAAGAAACATCCTTTAAAACATATACAATTTGATTAGCACAAAATAAACGAACACTAAACAAAAAAAGTGTCAACATTCATGCAATATAGACAATAAAGTAATCCGCAACAATTAAAAGATATAATGAAAGATAGGTTATCTTCTAAAAGAGAAACTGTTATAATCCAATCAAATATAGGGTGTTTCAAAAAATACGTGCGATCTCTTGTGGGAAGATTCCACGCGTAAAAATAAACTTTATTTTCTATATCAACATAATATGTCAAATTGTCAACAAATATGTCAAAAAGTCAAGTTGCTAGAATTTTTGAAAAGGATAGGACTGGAGAATGTAACCTAGTTCTATCAGAACAAGACAATAATAGATCTGAAAAGGTTACAGAGAAGTACAGCCCGATGGTAACCTCAAATATCTAATCCAAATCTAATTATATTTATCATTTTCTGTACTATAACTTTCTTCCATAAATTCAAACAGACCATTACTTCCCGATAAATTCAAATAATGTGTGTCAACGGTTCTGACCACTAAATTCTATTTAGACTAGTCCCACTATTAAAATCTAGTTCGGTAATGTAATAAGCAAATTTGAGGTTAGTCAATACGGCCAGATTGGTTTAATGGCCGTATTCCCTTTTAAGCCCAATAAAATACCCTATCAATACCGGCCATAAATCTTCGCTTAATTGCTTTAGGAATAATATATTCCGTGGTTATTAAACACAAATAATATTTTATAATGATGCATCGCGGTAGAATTTATCGGTAGCACCTATTTGTACCGAGTTTCGGCAATAATGCGTCTATATTTTAGTGCAGAATTTCTCAAGCACAGTTTTGTTCAATTGTCTTGGAATAATAAAAAAATTTAATAAATATTTTTTTAGAAAATGTTATGCAGTTCAAAACGCATTTTTTACATTGATCTTAAATCATACAGTGTGTTCAAAATTCTACGCCAAGATTTCTAAAATATAAAATAATTTTTCTTTGCTTTTTTTTAATCGAACACACTATATATTATTTTTGATAAGCAAAAAAGACAGTCTCGAAGTGTCAATATTAAAGAAGTGAGCATGAAGTGAGGTTGACATTTAAATAAATTATTTTGGACTCGCGTTTTAATAAGCTAAAAAAATGGAAAGAAAGAAAACATGAGTAATAATCCCGACTGGATTCCGGAAACTGATGAAAGTGATAATGATGAATCTATATCGCTTGAAATGCTTGAAACACCAAATGATGAGTCTATACCGCCTGAAATTCTTAAAAGAGCAAATGAGGTGATTAATAATCTGTAACTAATTAATAAAATTATCCCCGCCTACGTATTTGTATTTTTAATAATTAATAATTTTTTTAAGAAAAGCTGAAAAATATATATTCTTTATTTACTTATCAATATTTACGAAACTATCGAAATATATTTACTCATATCTTAGTATTATGTAAAGTGATCTGAAAGGAAGCCAAAAACGCAATAACATACAGGGTGTTCCATTTAAAAAAAAATCATCCCGATCCACTCAAACTTTTTTGAGCCACCCTATAGAAGTTAAAATATTTTTCTGCAATACATCCAGAATATAAACAATATTCCCAAGTTTTTATTCTAGAAGCTACCAATGCCCGACGCACTATTGCCGGACCTTGTATAATATACATAATTACCCAACATATGAGACGCATTTCTTATTAAATGTTTATTTAATATACGGAGAGATAACAAACGATTTAAATAGTTTCACTACTGTGTTATTGAATTTTACGTTTAACTATTTTCTAATTTAATCATCTTTGTTTCTTTCCTGATTTGCAACATTCCTGTACTCTGTATTCTTATATAGGACTCAGTGTATACTATTAGAAACTGTTCTATATTAAAAAAAACTTATTGAGTTTTTGAGCAGAATTATTCAATATTTTATTTTCGACATTGCTAGTTTTCTTACTCAAGACCTCAAATCTGATTAACCTTTTCATCGAATAATTAAAAAAGTTACTTTTTGTCCAACTGCAATAAAGTTTCCGCGTAAAAACTCGACGTACCTTGTATAATTTTCCGCGATAATAAAGTTTTCTCGATCAAATAAGAAACGAAAAATTAAATTTCCGACTAATTCTACATCGTTTTTTGCCCCCCGGCAAAGTCTTCAACGATACGCCGAAAATTTACATAAAAAATCAATTTCCTTGTCCTGTTTTACATCACACAATTCCAGGGATTATGTAAAACGGGAGGATGGATATCACACTGATAAACCGGGGTGGTCTTTTATTAAATTTCGTCAAAGCTAGTAAATTTCTGGCAAACATTCGATATTGGCGTTCACTTCCCGCCCGGCAAATTATGAATATTGCGCAGAGAGAGAGAATGAGATGGAAAGAGACAGGGTATAAGGAACGAAAGTGACAGAGATAGAGAAAAAGACGAGGAAAGGACAGAAATGAAAAAGCAAATATTGAGAATATGATAATAATATATAGATTTTACAAAATAAATTTTTAGTCGGCTGAATAAGCTTGACCGGCAAAGCGTTGCCCACTTTTTATATATTTTCTTGTAATCAAAATATTCTAGGAAACAAAAATAAATTAATTACAAATATATAGACAAAAGAAACACATATATACAAATATCTGGGGCACGAAATACAAAAAAATCAGAAAGAACAACCAAACACACGAGATACAGCGCAGAATAGGTTTGGGTTGGGCTGCTTTTGGCAAACTGCGGGAGACCTTTAAAAGTGATATACCCATATGCTTAAAGAGGAAAGTTTATGAACAATGCGTCTTGCCGGTAATTACATATGGAGCGGAAACTCTAACATTAACGAAAAAGTCAGCAGAAAATTTAAGAGTAGCCCAGAGAGCCATGGAGAGAGCCATGCTTGGAATAATTAAAAGAGACAAAATTCCTAATAACACTATCAGACAAAAAACCAAAATTAAAGACATAGTGGAACACGTAACTCGAATGAAATGGAGATGGGCAGGTCATGTGGCGAGAACATCTAAAGACAGGTGGACTAGATTGTTAGAATGGCGACCTCGAGCAGATAAACGTAGCAGAGGCAGACCACCGACACGCTGGACCGATGATGTAAAGAGGATTGCTGGAAATTGGATGATGACGGCCCAAAATCGACAGACATGGAGAAATATGGAGGAGGCCTACGTTCAGCAGGGGACAACGATGGCTACATGATGATGATGATGATAATATAGACAGTTATTATGTACATCAACAAAACTCACCTTCTTAATAGCACTTAAGGAACATAAAGGGCCATTACTACTACTACTTTCCCGTTGAAAATAATCTAACAATGTTGCGATGAGTTTTTTGCAACGGCTATTCATCTATTTTGTACACTTCGCACTAAAAGAGCTTCTAAAAAGAACAAAGTTTAACTGCATGGGCTGCTAGTAAAAATGTTTAAGCTTAAAGTATCACAACAAAACTTCTTTAAACCAAAAACTTACTTTTTACAAAACTAATGCCAGAAAATAAATAAATCCATGTGGCAATTTGACATTTTGTACAGCAGAGTTACCACTCTGAATCCCGAGCTGGGAATTTAAATTCCAATTAGTCAGCTCGGCGCCGAATATGTATGTCCATGGTTGACAACGATGAGTTTAAAAATTACGCCCTCGATTACACAACTAGAACTTTACTTAGTATCGCTTATAGTTTGATATTATTCATAAGTTTAATTTAGTAATTATTATATTACTTAAAAACAATTAGCTATAAATGAGACGTAATTACTCAGCATATGATACATATTTCTTATTAAATATTAATTTATGTAGTAGGTGTAAAATTCTCCTGTAACATCAAAAAGTCTAATTTAAAATTGACAAAAAGATTAAACAAAATAATTCTATTACAAAATAGAAAAGATAAGATTAACTTTGTAGTTGAAATGAATTAAACTAATTTACTATTATAGTTTAGAGCTTTGATTCGAAGTTTATATTTATTTAGTATTATTAAGAAATAATCTATAATATATACGATAAAGCAGAATAAGAATTCTCGAAATAGATGCAGGTTCGAAAGTATAATTCATCATGTAGGATGTATTGCCTAGATCGACAGATTTGAAATTGTAATGCAACTCGATCTGGTGGCGAAAATAAGTTTGAAATATTAGCGGCTGTCAAAATAACGTGTTTGTGTGTCTGCCGGTTATTGATTGCCCTTTTAATAGCTCTCTCTTTCAGACAATAGACAGGCGAACGAATGTTTTTATAAAGATGTGTGAAAATATTTTTTTTGTTTTCTTTTTTCGGTTCCTATTTTCGCTCCGTCAGTAATCAGTCATAATTTACGGTGTAACATACATATTTACGTGTCGATTTTCAGACCAGTGTAATAATTGGCTTCTACAAATGCGATAAAAAGGAAATCGTTTATATCAGCGTAAAATTTCGAAATAATAGCATTTTTCAAATCGTTCTATCATTATCGGTTGGCATCCGTACATGACTGAATATAGGATGCCATTTAGCAATAAACGGTTTGTAATTATGTATTTGAAACATTCTATTGGATTGGCGCGGAAGTACAGATTGTATTTTTTTTTGTCCTGACTGTAGATTAAATGGTTGCTCTATGTTAAAGCAAAATATTTACCAGAAATTATTATGCTGTGTTAAAAATACAATAATACATTTTATGTCAATATAAGTGCTCTAAATGTCATTACAAAATTAAAAATTTGCAAATACAAAAAAAATTTACAATTTTTTGTTTAACCCAGATAAGGCCAAAACTATTAATTTTCAAATTAGTTGATATTATGTTTTTTTAGTGCTAAATATAATTGGTATATTATATTAGATGTAGTAGGCGGTTTTTTCAAAAATATTTGCAGGTTTTTTCAAAAACAGGTGTTCTTTTAAAAGGACGATGGACAAATACACAACCTTCTTTGATAAGCGTTTATTAGAAAAGCAAATGAATATAATAGAACAAAATGTTAAGCTGTATGATAACTCACAAAACAATTTTTAGGATGTAATGCAATTTCACATTTCTGACAGGTGAAATTACATTTTTTATGACAAATACCACACCTTGTCTGTTTTTCTTGATAAGTAACTAAATGGTCTAGTCGGTCATATCTCGAATGCTCATGTAAATTAGCAGAATTGCGACTAGGGCCTCTTTTCGATGATTTTTTAAAAGTTTCTAAAATACCGAGAGCAACTGACTGCCTGAAATGTAAATGGTCCTTTTTGCCATTACTTTCTCGATAAAGCTGCCACGCGTTATGTAAAGCCATATCTAGACAGTGGCAAATTAGGGGAAAATACCATTTTTTTCCTCTTATTGACGTTCTATATAGACTAATGTTCTGGTCCGCTCTATCAACCCCTCCCATATTCTCGTTATATTTTTTTATAGCATGAGGTTGGGGAACATATACATTTTTCTTCTCTTTCTGAGAAAATCGTTTTACAGGTAAAGTTGGCATAACTTTGGTGGCATTTGAAGCAATCGTGACAACACTATTGTCATGCCACTTGCATAAGATTATTTTGTTATCATCTGAAGTACAAAATTCAAATAAACCTCTATCTTTTTTTTTCAAAATGCTAGAATGAGTCAAAATGCACTCTTTGCCTAAACGATTTTCTCTGATAGTTCCAGTTCCCTTCAAACCCATATCTGTCAGTTTTTCCAACAAAGCAAGTGTAGTAAAAAAATTGTCAAAATATAAGTGGAACGGAGTATTGGGAAATCTTTCTTGAAGAACATGAGCAAACTGTAGAATTACACTAGCTCCAAGACCTAATTCTTTATATTCATCCGCAATAATTGTTGTCGAACCCTGGTAAGGCTCAAACCATTCAACATAACCAGTTTTCGTAGTACCGGCCCAAAACTTATAACCCCATCTGATGGGCTTTCCTTTGATGAACTGCTTGGTTCCATGGCGTCCAAAATATGGAACCATACTTTCATCTACACTATGATTCTCCTGAAAGGGTGCAAAGTCGATAAATCTTTTATTTAGTGCGTCAATAAGAGGGCGAATCTTAGCAAACTTATCATTAGTATTCAACAAATTATTATTGTCGCAGCAATGTAAATTTTGTATAATATACTTGAACCTATTCCTAGATATGGCTTCACAAACAAGTTGGTTATTTGTATCTTTGGATTTCTCCCAATACATTTCACGCCTAGGATGACCAGAATACCCACTAAGCAAGAGTACCCCTAAAAAACAGCGCATTTCATTGCCAGAAATGTCTCCATTGCGGTTATGAGACGTAGCATATAGATTGCTATAATGCACCAACATAGCGATGATTTCAGAGTCAAAAAATAAATGAAATGCCTCTAAAGGCGTGTAGGATATTTTTGGTCCATAAATATTATTCCACAAAGAAAAATCTGAATTTATGTCTGCTTGCAACCATTTGTAAATGCGCTTTTTTTTTCGAGCCAGTTTCTTTAGTACGGAAAACGGACAAAGGTAAATCATCTTCACTATCCCAAAGATCGATCTCTAGTTCCGGAGTTTGAGGTTCCGGAGTTTGAGTACGTTCCTCAAAACTTACTTGTACTTCGGCACGCAGAATTGATGAGGATGCAGGTGTTATTATCCTATTTTCTAATGTTTTCATTTTCCTTCTTTTTTCATCTACATTTTCCTCAGTCCTCCTAATCTTTACATGCTTTCTTTTCTTGGGATCCTTGAAGATACTTGTTTCAATCGAAAGCATCTTCTCTTCTTCCTCGTCCTCTACCGCTAACACTGGCACACTTGTCGTTTCACGGTCTCTTCATCCCCGGAATCTTCATCTGTGATTTCTTCATTTGCATTCTCAGGAGGCAATATGTAAATATTATTCGGTATTTCTGCATCGAGATTTGCAATTTCCTCCAACAACTCATGGAATGTAGTTTTGTTATAGTAGATTTGGCCACTGTCCTTTAAAAAGAACATGCAGATATTTTCAGTTCCAACTGTCGGCACATATTTCACCATAACCAAGCTTTTACATGGGAACGTTTTTTAGGTGTTTATTAACAAAAACCAACGTTCTAATTGATGACAAAAATACAGTAACATACATAGGACTTACCTCGAATTATTCATGTCACACACTGAAAAAAGTCGAACTCAATAAAGTGTAATTTTCACACACTAACAAGTGAAAATATAACATGTGGTGGTTAAATTAACGGAATAATATTATCTCTAAACAAATTCATAATGTGCCATCTGCATTCAAGGAGTTAAAGTTGAGTATTACAGAAATCTGTAACTTGGCTTTTAAAAGGACGGTGGCCGTATCTGGGTTAAAAGAATAGGCTACTTGTACTGCAGTTTGGGATTATGTTTATGTAGATTTCAGGGTCCACTATATATGTCATTAGCCCATTTTTTTTAAATGGATAAGGCGGGTTTTGCAACTTGACGCCTCACATAAATAAGTTTAAAACTCGAAAAAAGAGACGTTAGCAAAACACCGTTATTATACTTCAATATGTTAGATTTTTTGTAAAGTAACTTTTCAGTTTTTTTATACTGGAAAAGCTCTTATACAAAGTTCAACCAATTTGTCGACAAGACTTCATCTAATATCCGATAATCCGTTAACCTTTAAAAAGGCCGATATCCGCAACGCCGTAAGGAACGAACCTTATTTAAAAAATGGCCCATTCCGAATGCACTCGCCGCCGCCGGACTCGTACAAATCTCCACCTAGCCGAAGAACGGTCGTCCCATTTATCGGTCAAGCATCGAAGAAGTTCTTCTGGAGCGTCTCATTTTTACTTAATCCAGTAATAAATTGACTTTGATAAGGAACGCCTCGGTGGCAAACTCTATAAATTACGAGGAGAAATTTCTAACAATATTGATAGCTTCTTCGGCCCTCTTAGATTGACCTTTAAGCTGAGTTTTGCCCCCGCCGAGATATATTTATTGCTCGGGGGTTATAATAGAGAAATGAAAAGTGTACGGTTTAGAAGACTACATCCGAAGTATATTAGTTTTTGTGTAAAGGAAAAAAGTTTGTTGATTTATTCGTACCTATAGAAGTAGGTGTTTTGATAATATTTCAAAATGGTTATCAAATACAATAGTCTTGTTTGATGATGAAGCTACAAGTAATATAAATGTCTTTCTAAACCAAATAAAATCATGAAACAATTACCGCATAATCATCCCTCATAAATCTTTGTACAATATGGATTTTAATGCAACAATATCTCAATTTATTCATGAAACACAGATCATCGAAGAACAGAATTTAACAATGCAAAAATTATAATGAAAAAACAATAGCTTTTAAGATAAAAATAAAAGATAATTTTCTAATCCGGTTAAATATAAATAAATGCAGTACCCAGGCATCTGTCGTTGCTATATATTTAAAAAAGGCGTCAGTTTTTCTTAAAGAGACGTAATTTTTATATTCGAAAGAAAGAATAAAAAAGAGAAAAAAAAGGGAAAAAAAACAAGAACAAAAAAAATGAAAGACAAGAAAAAAAGGTTATTTAGGTTTTTTGCTGTTAGGTCTGATAGAGCTCGTATGAGCAAAACCCGTATAACATATATATAACGTTTGATAGGTTAAAACCTAACATGAATGTTTGAGACTTTCAGTCCTTTTTTCCCAAATTGCTATAATTGTATGACTATTGCTTCATTGGTTTTTGAAACAACATCATATGACATAATATTGTTTTTCTTTAACTAGGCACAAAAAGTCATTTTTACTCCGAATAGAACATGCCATTTTTTTTTCAAACCTCACAAATAAGTTTTTGAACAGTTTTAAACATTCCAAATAATATAAAAAGATTTAAAAATCGTACCTTGTATGTAATTATATATCGAGAAACTATGGTTACGCTCGTTGAATTTGACACTTTATGTCAGTTTAATAATATATTTAGTACTTTTATGCTTAGGCGTAAAAGTGCTTTACTTTTATGCGTAGGCGTTAAAATGACTTTATTGTCAATCACGACGCAAAAATTAATACTTTTGTGACGTTTGAAAAAAAATTATATACAGGCATGTTAAGCTTTTTGGTCTTAACTAGTAATCGTGTATAACAACTGTTAATTTGAAGTTAGAGTTTATTTACTGAAATAGCATTGAGTTGTTTATTATATTTTTAACACGCCTCCAACAAACGTCACAAATAATTTTTTAACGCAACTCTCTTCTGGTCACAAATAATTTTTTAACGCAACTCTCTTCTGAAAAGGAGAGTTTAAGAAGAAAGAAGAAGAAGAAATGTATAAACAGTAATACCTTGTAAGTAATTATATATCGAGAAACAATAGGTGCACTTGTTGAATTTGACACTTAATGCCAGTTTAAAAAATAACAAAATTATCATATTTTTTACTTGTGTAATTAGGCGTAAAAGTGATTTATTTTTATGCCTAGTTGTAAAAGTAGTTTGCTTTTTTGCTTAGTAATAGAAATTACCCTTTAATTAGATTTGAATTTAACCTTGATCCAAAAATAATTGACGAACAGTGTATATAGAATAAATTCGAATGTATTATAATGTGTAAATAATATACTTACGAATTATGAGATTCTAAACAATACGTTAGATTTTTTTCTTTTGAACATTATTGGACGCCGTATAATTTATTTATGTAGTAGTTTAAAACAATAGTGCTAGATCAAAGAAAAACAAACTAATTGCAACTGAGCAAGTAAAGTGCTCGATGCTTTACTACATACTACGGGCGATTGCAGCGACCGCAAGAACCAAAAACGGTTTTCCACATCAAGAACGCCATTTAGAAACGAAAGAACCGTAGACAAAAGAGATATATACGTTCCGGACTATCATTAATTAGAAAAAACCGGCTGCAAATACCGACCGTATAAAAATCCGACTGTAACCGCGTTACAGAACATTTCACACGGTTTTTTCGAGGGCTTCGTCGCTCGAGATAAGACCGTTGAAAAGGACGTAGACAGACACGCATTCCACAGCCGGGAGTCGTTGAGAGAACAGCGAAAAGGTTTTTGGTGTTGGAACGCTAAATATTCTTTTTGCTTTTTGCTTTTATGTCGTGCATTTGTATATTTTTTTTATGGAATGCACTCGTTTAATTTTTTCTGTACGATTAAAAGACTGTTAATTATCAGAAAAATTATATGATTATTCTATTATAACTAGAGAATTAACCAATCATCTCTGCTATAAACTTAACAATTATTCAAAAACTGTGATATAAAAAATAACCTGAATATCTCAGTCGTGTTGTTGTTCTAAAGAAATAGGTTAATATCTATTGAAACGCGCCTATCATTCGAATGATACTTTGAATGCGGTAGACCATGATTCAGTATAGGCTTGGTGCATTTCAGTTGATTTCAACAAATTCCTATAGCAGCGCTTCAACGGCAAAAATCAGAAATGACCAGTACCTATTTCATGCCGCCATCATGTTGATCGCATTAAAATAATATTGAAATCGTGGTTTCGTCATAATATTTAAGTATTTTAGTTTGTTGCTAGTGCAGTTATTGAGACTATAAAACACTCAGGTACGAGGTTTGTGTGATGTAACGCTGTTTTGGTTAGTTAAAAATAAGTGGAAAAGAATTTTGTGACAATTTCAAATGCTAATAAAATTGTCGAAAAAATATTAACGCGTAAAGGAGAGCGTAATGAAGGCGTTGTTGGGTGCAACAACATTCAATAATTCAACTTTCCCGGATACTCAACTCTTCCGAAACAATATTTTATAGCTTCATAGTTTCTCACACCGTTTTGATCAAAAACAAAAATTGATTCAAGCAGTTCGACGAAATAAAGTGTTCGTTACATAATAAACAAATTAAATAGACATATACTATGAGAGGATAAAATATAATTTGCAATATTAATGGTCTACTTATTTTTAATCAACTAGTGATTAAATGTTTTATGAACATCTTCTAAAATTATGATTATGTATCTTTAAAAAATTTCGTTGTAGCCGAAATAGCCCCAATTGTGACCTCACGAGCAAAACCGGTGATTAAAACTATGCTCGCTACCGTAGTTGAACTCATCTAAAAAGTTTTTTTTAGCTGGAATAATAAATTATAATAAAGTTAGACTTTCTGAAGATATAAAAATACTGACTTTTTTATTTTAATTTTTAAATTTTTCACAAATTATACCTACTTCCTAACACTTT